TGTGTGTGTGTGTGTGTGTGTGTGTGTGTGTGTGTGTGTGTGTGTGTTTATAATTTCGAAAAAATATTGGAAACTACCTATCCAAATCTTATACTTAGTAAACAATTATAATAGCACGTTCAAGGCAAGAACAGATATCCTTGTGAATGTGAGCTGGCGCCATCTCTGCCTTCTCTTTAAACGTTAACCAAGTGCAACAACGGTTCAAATAATTATTATTGCTATCGAATAAACACCAGGTGACCGCATCAAGGTTGCTCTGAGATTGTTGACCTATGCATTCCATTGCTAATTTCAACAGAGCTCTCCCACAAAAACGCACACAACATAACACTATCTGATGTCTGATGGGACACAAGCCGTAAATAATAAACGCTGTTCTCCCTACTATTTTTAATTTTAATGGCTCGTAAGGAAACTAGAGTAAACAAACACACTATACCTATACTCCGTTAAACAAAAAAACCAAAAATGTCTTATTGTATTTAATTTACGAACACTAAGTTTAACAATATATATATATATATTTGTATACACACATATTCATTCATATTTACGATTTCACATAATTAAATTAAATAATCATTCTATACAAAAAAAAAAAACCAACCTGTAATTTAAACTTAACTATCAAGCTTATCAAGTAAATAATCAGTGAAGTTTAAGTTTATTTAATGGATGCAAATTATTGTATTCACTAATTAATAATTTTTCGAGTGTTCGTTCGTAAATAATAATAAACTATGTTCTATAAAATATCAACTGATATGAATAATGATTTAGACAATTGTAATAAAAGCAACTATATACTTATATGAATATTTAAAATTTATATTTTTGTAAAAATCCAACCATCCAAGACTAGAGGAGGTAATTTTTAATTCAATTGTGCATATTATGCAATACGATAATAATGAAAAAAACAAACAGATAATGTGTTAAGTTTAAAAATTTTAAGTAATACAACTAGTAAAAATAAATAAAGTAACTATGATAATTGATAGTACAATATTTATTCAGAACAGAGAATTAAGATTAAAAATATTGTACACGCAACGCACCTTCAAAATCCCGTAAGAGGGAATATATTATACTTATATAATAAGATAGTGAGAAAAATAATAATAAATTGTAAATAATGAAAAATAGTTGTTTGAATATAAATTATAAAGCATAAAAAAGATAAACTGATATTGTGATAATTAAATGATTATATTGTATACTCATATGTATCATATGAGTATACAATATAATCAAATTATTTCCTTTTTTATCTCAATAACTTTTTAGGATTTTCATTTCTTAAATAGCAGTTATTATTAAATTATATATTAAAATTCAAATAAAAGTTAAATCATTACTAAAATTTAATTATAAGTGATTATATGCATAATTATGTAATATAATATAATTTCTGCAGGTATATAAAAATACATTTTCCAATGTGAAAATGTACAAGCACAAATCAGCTATCCCGAATACCTTTTATGGAAAAATGAGTTCCTTTTCTAATAAGAATATTAATCTTTTTTTTTTTTTGTACCATGTGGTTAAACGTGCGTTAAAATATTTTAGTTTTATTTACTCTATATGATTTCAAAATATAATGAATATTAAAAATAAATTGTCAGATATGACTGTATATCGATATTCAAACTACACTTATCTATATTGATAAGAAAGTTTATCATAAAAAGTAGACATTTTACAAATAAAAACTTTTCCTCAATAGTGCATGAGTTTAGTATTACAAGAATATCACATTCACGTTAATACTCATAAGCGTGCGAATATTTTATATAAAATATCATTTAATCATTTTAAAAACCGATATCGTCACCAAATATGTACAAAGAGATTACAAAACCAATAATGTCAAAAAAAAACCCAAAATATCAAATCGTAATTAAATATTTTTATTATTATTAATTCTAGTTGTTTTTATAATAATTCAATTTAATATAAGTGTTTGACTTAAACTTAAAAACTTCAACATATCAGGAATTTATCAAATCCATACAAAAAAAATATTAATCCTGGATTTAGATAACTATATAAGCTAAACACACGTATAAAAAATAAGGTCTGCATGAATGAAATGTTTTGTTAAACCTGCATTTGTATTAGATCTTAAATTAATACGCAGGTAACTAATTAAATGACTGTTTTTATCTCTTATGTACCAAAAGAAGAATAAAGATATTACATGTTATTATATTATATAAACCATCGAATAAAAACATAAAATTTGCGTAATAAAGTAGTTGAAAACAAAATAAGGAGATAACACAAAAATATAAAAAACAAATAATAAAACGTTCATTAAAAAAGTTAATTTTATGAATAAAATAGTAAAAGAAAATATTATGAAAATGCAAAATTGCTCTTATAAACATAATAAGTAAGCAATTTAAAATTACAATTGATAAAAATAGTTGAAAACGTATATATCATTACAAAGATTTTGAACGAACCAATACTAACAAAAAGCAATGCCTTCTTCATAAGGTATGGGGTAAAGGTTGTGAAAAATATTCTCTGTTGGTTAAAAATTATGCTATTAACAGAAATTGAAAGTTGAATTCATAAACAATGCAAAATTAATAACACATAAGTAGGACCATGTAATGTCAAATTTTTTCTTGTCATTATCATGAAAAATATAAAAACCTCTTGAATGTATTATGTAACATGTATGATGTAAACCTACTGATCATTTTGAAATACGACTACCACATTAATGTTTGTAAGGTGTTAGTTAAAGTTGACTAGAATTTAATATTAAAAATAATAAAATTCAATTACTTTTATTACTTCTAATTTGAAAACATGTTTCCACTCCAAATGAATCAAATTAAAAAAATGTATTTATCATAACCGTAAGATATATAAGCCCTGTGCTTTTTGTATTATAATTGATTATATTTTCAATTCATACGACTATATAATATAAAATAATGTAATAAGAAACGTAGAAAAAAAAATGCATGCAAATTAAATAATTAATAAAACTCTGAGTTGCATAATCTTTATATTATATAATTAGTAAATACATACAACTTATTCTTAGCACGTTGTTCATTGTTTGTGCACAGTGCGCTTATTCTTTGTATTTTAATGAATAAACACTAAGAGAATTTTTTGACGTACAATTAGTATAATAATAGTTAATAATTCATAAATTGTACAGAATACAAAACTTCATAAATAAAATAATTTGCACCGCTAATGAAATAGATAATGAATTATGTCTCGCACAGAAATAGAGCGTTTTTTCTGACAATTAATGTCTGAAATATCAAGATATGTTATTTTCTGTGCTTAAAATAAGTAATTCATTATACAAAGTAAAAATATTAAACATAAAAATAAAATAAATATCTCTGACCCCACTCGCTATAGTCGAACCATAAAATATCATTTGTTCGTGGAATAAAGAAACCCCACAATCAACATAAATTAAAACAGTTGGTATAATTCACATAGTAATCTATAGGGATTTAAATACACGACTGAACGATTCGAAAATTGACGTCGAATTAACGTCATGATATGTTCATGACATGCGAAGGCGAAACAATTGGTTTTAGAATAAATAAATTGCACGTAAAACCGATAGTTTTGTAACTTAAAATAACAATGGGAAATTTAATTTAAAAAAAAATATATATGTTCGATTACTATGTAGCGTTTTTAATTATTTATTAATTTTTATTGATTTTTTTAGAATTTTATAATATTTGTTAGCAACACTATGTATAATATAATGTACCTCTTTTAAGAAAATACAAAATATAATTTTTAAAAACTGATATTTTTACAGTAGAAACCGAAAAAGTTAAGTTATTTATATAACTATCATACACAGAAAAATGTATACGCAATGATATTTCATAAACTTTACCGTAGTAAATACAATTAATATATAAAGTTTTAAAAAAAAAAAACTGTTCTGAGCCCAGTTGTGGGCGTATACAATATACGAACCTCATAAAGTTGCATTATTAAAAATTATATCAAATAAAAAAATCGAGCACGTGAACTATTATTTTATAAAACAGGTACATACGCTCAGGTACACTATTAAATACAATTTGATTCCGTTTAATGGTTTTCGTACAGCTCGTAAAACACGTGTCATTAAGAAAAATCAATAATTCAAACGTATTATTCGAAAACAAGTCACAAATCGGCCAATAAATTCGTGAACCATTTAATCATTAAAAGAATACGTAATGAAACTTGAACGGTTGTCGCACACACCGTCCGAAATGCACTTCAATAGCGTGTGACGGCGAAGTGAAGAGCCTGACCACCAGTGACTTCAAATCCCGTACCGAGCTCGACCTCGACCACTATTCTGAAAATCGTGTGAACAGGCCACGTGGACTGGCGTAGTAATTTGAACGATGTAAGTCTGTGTAAAAATCTACAAACGTTCTCGGGAGGCCGAGGCCGTTACTGAGTTACAGAATGGTCTGGCCACGTTTTCACCGAAACGGGTACCAGCGCCCGAGGCGCAAAACCAAGCCCGGATTAAGGATCAATTGGGCCCCGGAACACTATACACTTAGTGTGTCTCCTTTCAACTTGAACTTAAAAATAATTATTTATTAGGTAAATAAAAAAAATAAAAATCTATAGTTTAATAACTAAACTATATATATATATATATTTAAAACTGCTTTGAACATATTAAAAAAATATATTATGAGGATAAAGATGGACCCCAAAATCAACAGGCCCCGGGACCATGCCCCTCTTAATCCGGGGTTGCGAAAAATCGTACTTAAAACGTATCATTAAAGTTCAAATTTCGTTTATTACTGCTGCAGACACAACGGCAAGGATGGCAAAACGTACCGCGGATCGTGGCCCACCCCAATCACAACGGAGAATCCGGCGGACATCACCATCGTTGCGATCGACCCGGACTAAAATAGCACGTACGAATAGGGGGTAATATGGGGTATCATAAATACCGTCGTTTTGGCAATTCATTCCGCCTCGAAACGTCCGACTGTCCGGAACCCGAGAACTACTCTCGGCGCGTAGAAGTTGTTTTTTTTCTTCTTTCTAATCCATCAGACGTTTCTGGACACGCTCTCGGCTGGCTGGGACATCGCACTTCGGATCGCCGAGAACTGCACTGCGCGTTGTATTTTCTACCGATAACGACGCTCGGTGCACGCCGGAAGCACACGGTGGACGACGGCCGTGTGCAGGAAGGAGCGACGACGCAGCCGGTATGCCCACCCGTATGGTTTTCGTATGTGCCACGGCGGCGTTGAACCACTACTAATCATCGAACGGCCATGGCCGAACGAAAACGGGTTAAGTCAAACGGGCTAATTATCGAGCACCCGGTGCCCGGGGAGACTTCGGTGCACCGTGGAACAGGCATCGCGAAACGAGACTGGCCGGCGTGCGATTCGGTAGAAATGTGAATGTTCATCACGGTTGTGTTAAGTTTAAGGCTGAAAGATAATTAGGCGATTAACCTAAACCGACCTAAACGTTACACACGAATACGTTATTGAATCGTAGTCGATCGAACACGGTTTAGACGATCGGTCGATTTCGCATACGGGGAACGGATCGCCTGCAATTTTCTAAGCCGTTCGTACGTCTTATGGGTACGCTCAGCGTTTGCAACGTTAAATGCGACCAAATGTGAACCCATCATGTTTTTTCCCAACGGAAATGAATGGCGGCTACCAAAATGTATTGAACTACATGATTTTTTTTCTTTTTAAATATAATCTCAACGCATTATTATTTGTACTTTCGTTCGTAGTCGCCTTGGATAAAATATTTTTTGTACTATATAACCTATATGACTATATAGGTTATATAGTATATTTTATTATTTATTAGTATTTATTATAACTATATTTGTACTATATGACTTCGATAACTTATCATTTTTCTTTGACCCATTTAAAAAGTAATAATAATAATAATAACTTCGACCTGTTACTTATTTGGTTTTTTGTAACATTGAACTTTTATTGTGTTACAGAAAACCGTAAGTTGAAATTACCGTCCGTTTAGAAATTGATGATAGGGATCCTGCACAAGCAATGTCTGTTATTTTTTTTATTTTTCCACTTACGCCCATGCAGCGACCGAACTCTTTCGCGTTGGCGTTGATGGAAGGTGAATCAACTTCTCTGTGTTATCAGCCGATCAGTCTTCGTTAACTGTTACATAATATATCCGAAGATTATCGGATAATAGTGCAACGTAAATGTATTTAATTATTTGGTATGATAATCAAATTATTTTCCATACCCATTCAACCTCATTCAACCGAAAAACTGACGAGTACAACAGAGATCACGAATGCACTTACATGTATTATTAAGTATGTATCTGTGTATAGTTATACGAACCGTACTTTATTTCCCTATTGACTATGATACATAATACATTAAAAAAAGGTACTTGATCCGTAGAGTAGTCCTTATGGTAGGTACATTTATACAGTAGTTACGAATGGTAGAATATATTTTTAACGTTCTGTGCATCGATACACCTAATTCATTATACTTATAGATAGTTGTTAATATATTCATTTTTCTGAAAACTCAAATGAATAAACGATGCAGCAAACGGTTTAGAATACAATGAGAATAAGTAACCAACCCATTTTTCAATGAGAAATGTTATTAATGTTTACTCTAATTTATATTTACGAAAACAAAAATGTTTTTAAAAATTATCATCATACATTTAAAAACGATAACTAATAAGTAATTGTTAAGAATCCACATCAATTAAAATCACTTTTAGTTAATACTTTAAAGAAATAAATTATTTTCTAAATAATACTAAATAGATTGATAAATATAGTTAGACGTTATTTTATACATATTTTTTATTTCTAGAAGTGAGTTATCTTTTAAATCATAATATAATCATATACATGTACAATTATACTAAAGTACAAGTTATAAATCAATAAATTTAAAAGAATAATAGAAGCTTCAATAAAATATTATCAATCGGTAATTAAGAATAATTATTTTTCGTATATATTTAAAGTATATACTTATATAAATTGTAAGTCACGTCGTCCTAATAAGACGTTCACATTCAAAATGCATATATTTATATGTGTGCTTTACAGTAACATCCACCGGATGTCGTTGATTAACGTGAATTGACACCGAAACCGTTTCGAATTGAGAACTTAAAAAACGATTTAACGATTGCTAAATGACTCATAATATATCTTAGCTTATAAATTTTATTTATTATAATAAATATGGTCTTAACATTAAACTGAAAATTGCATTGTCCATACACCGTTATAATTTGATGTGTACAGTTATATTATTACATAAATAATTAAAAAATCTTTTAATTTCAAAAACTTTGTTAAATTATTACTTTAAAATAGTTCCTCGTTACGAAAACGAAGTGTATAAAAAAAATTAAAATTTAGTAAATTGATATGTCAAATAAATTTATAAGTCGTAAATAGTGTGTTAAACGTTTCGACAAAAGCCCAAATGCATTAAAATCTTAAAAATCTTAGCTCCATTAAAAATATATTCTAAAATTTAACAAAAAAAAAATAAAAAATATATCTAATGAACGTAACATACATTTCTTCTTACAATAATTGTAATAATTATTATTCTGAATAAAAATGTTCAAGCTAACTATAAATATGGATTTTTCATACAAGTTTAAAAGTATAATTTTGTATATGTATCTATCAAATTAATTTAATCATGTTTTTAATAACACAAAACAAAAATCATAAAAACTTACTATCATCTGTAACGGCGATAACAATAATTATACACATAATATGATATGAGTCATAAAAGTTTTGGTAAAATAATTACGATGAACCCACGGAATTTAAAACCCGTTGATGATTAATAAAATCCATTTCTTTTGATTAAAATTATGTACACACATTTGAAAAATTAAAAATATTGCCTGGATCTCATAATAAATCTAACATATGTAAAATAACGAAAAAAACAAAAGACGCACTGTCAGCAACATATTTGACTAATATGGGTTCTTGGACTCAGTAGTATATAGAAGTATCTAAACGCACACGAAACACAACTAAATAAAGATGCTGCAACAGCAAAACCTTATATCAACGTACGGCAAATATTATCACAAGCCACCAAAGATCAAATTAAAACAAAAAACTAAATGAATTAAAATATAAACCACATAATTTTAAAGATAACAAATTGAATTAAAAAAAAAAAATGAAGCCATACATAGAATTAATAAACAATAACTACATATTTAAAAAGAAAATAAGAATTTTGTCACTATCCAGAACACATAATCATTTACATATTACATAATGTAACGCACACAAATACATCAAATACAATAGGAATACCGGCAAGAAATTTAATATTAATAACATGAAACGCAATTGACAATAATATATCACTTATTTTATGAAATTTGTATAATAAAATTAATGGTTATGTGTTATAAAAAATAGAATATCAATTTAACATAACAATTAATTGTAGAGTTAATAGGATACTGTATTCATTTAAGTAGGCATTTTACCTTTACCAAAGCTATATGAGATTTGAAATCGAAACCAATGATCATTTTATTTATTTTGCTATATAAAACAAAAGAATAAATAAAAAAATTGCCAATTGCATAAAGTCTTGTCAGGTCTATAAGACATAATTAATATATGTTTCTGTAATATAACCCACAACGTAGTAAAAATAACTCTCAAATCAATATTTGTTAAACTCATTGTATATCTTTGTTTTTTTTTATATGTTATATTACAATAATTTATTATACTTTCACAATGTTGTTTAGTATATTTTACCAAAAAATGATATCTTTGTGATTATTTTCGGTATGAGTATATCTCTATATAAAGCATATTCGGGAAAAATAATTTATAATTTATCAAACTACCGAAACTTTTATTTAAATATACATTTCTTGATATACTATACATTATCAACTCATCGATTTAACTTAATTTTTAATTATGTTCAAGTCAAATTCAATACTTAATGCTTCAGTACAAGTTGTATTAAAGTAAATTAAAATGGCTTATTTCCTTATCAGAAAAAAGAGAAAATTAATCTTGTTCATACATTTAAAAAATAATATTTATACAAAAATATAAGATATTTTACAATTAATTTTATACTTCGTTGCAGTATATTTTTCAAAACATTTTGATTTAAAATAATTAAATATCAAACAATTAGTTTATTAATATTAGATGAATTGTTACTAATTGATAATTATTAATTGAATAATTACAATTATAATATTTTGTTCAATAAAAGTAATACTACTCAAATATAATACGATAAAAATTAATGTTTTTTAGTAACATTTTTGGTTAGAAATCACTATTAATTATTGTTATATTTGTAATATGAATTTCTAATTGATGTATAAAAAAGTTAACCATTTTTAACTACGAACTGTAATACGGATAAATAAAAAACTATATACTATTTTTCATGTATGATAATGAAAAAGTAATTTAAAATGTAAAACAAATACTAATTTTAGTGCGTAGTTATTTAGCCTTAAACAGCATAATAATAATTTCTTTTTTTTATTAACATCCCATTATTTATTTAGTCAATATTATCATCCTTCCCCCAAGAAATTATTGACTGGGTCCACCAAAAATTGAATAAAAATATAAAAGATAAACTTAGTTAAAAGTGAAAACTATACTGTAAAAGTAATCCTATTAAATCGTAACAAAATCAAATAATTTAATTCGTGCACAAAATAATTGAATCAATTAACTGTATTCATTATTTATCATTATACGCTTTTAAATATTAATTAATTTCAGTTTATTTAAAATTTGAATACTCCACTTTTGATAACAATACAAAATTATTACTCAAAGGCAGACGAAGATATTATAGCATAACATCATTGCCATAAAAATATATCATACATGCATCTAACTATATATTTTATGGTTACTATAAAGTATATCATTAAATATATTTAATAATTTAAAATTAAATAATTAATGCATCGGACTCAATTTTGTATTAAATTTATTATTATGAACATTAACTTGAGATTACGTCTCGACATAAATTTAAAATTGATAAATTAACAGCATTTAAAAATATTCTAATTAATAATAATTAACCAATTGAATGAGAAATAATTTACATGAGTTTTTCTAAAGATAT